CCATCTTTGATCATCATCAGCATGTACTTCGATAAGCATCAGGGTTTGGCCGCTGGCTTGGGTTGCTCTGGAGTCGGTGTGGGCACATTTTGTCTGGTGCCTTTTACCCAGTTTCTGTTTGATACCTATGGCTTTCAGGTTAGTTTGACCTGTCCTCTTTCACCTTGTTAGGATGGCAGGCAGGATGTAGGTCTACTGCACCATCTATAGTTGATGGATTTAAGTGTATCACACATAAAAAAATATATACACAGAGTAGACTATTGATATGATAAGAGCAATGTTATACACAGTTGATTGACAAAGAGCAGTGGTGTACACAGTTGATTAAAAAAAAGCATTGTTGTACACAGTTGATTCAAAAAGAGCATTGTTGTACACAGTTAATTGACAAAGAGTAATGTTGTACACAGTTGATTGACAAAGAGCATTTTTGTGCACAGTTGGTTGACAAAGAGTACTATTGTACACAGTTGACTCACAAAGAGTATTGTTGTACACAGTTGATTTACATGGAGAATTGTTGTACACAGTTGATTTACATGGAGCAGTGTTGTACACAGTTGATTCGCATGGAGCAGTGTTATACACAGTTGATTCACATGGAGCAGTGTTGTACACAGTTGATTCACGTGGAGAATTGTTGTGCACAGTTGATTCACATAGAGAATTGTTGCGCACAGTTGATTCACATGGAGCAGTGTTGTACTCAGTTGATTCACATGGAGAATTGTTATGCACAGTTGATTTACATGGAAAATTGTTGTACACAATTGATTTACATGGAGCAGTGTTGTACACAGTTGATTCACAAAGGGTATTTTTTGTACACAGTTGATTCACAAAGGTTATTGTTGTACACAGTTGATTTACATGGAGAATTGTTGTACACAGTTGATTTACATGGAGAATTGTTGTACACAGTTGATTCACATGGAGCAGTGTTGTACACAGTTGATTCACAAGGGGTATTTTTGTGCACAGTTGATTCACATGGAGCAGTGTTGTACACAGTTGATTCACAAAGGTTTTTTGTACACAGTTGATTCACAAAGAGTATTTTTGTACACAGTTAATTCATTGATTCCAAAGAGTATTGTTGTACACAGTTGATTCACAAAGAGTATTCTTGTACACAGTTGATTCATATGGAGCATTGTTGTACACAGTTGATTGACAAAGAGTACTATTATACACAGTTGATTGACAAAGAGTATTGTTGTACACAGTAAATTCACAAAAAAGCTCATGGGAGTTCTTAGCAAAAGTGAATGGACGTCGCTCACTGCAACAAAGCCTGACAAATGACACCACAACATCTAGTTTGAGAATGGAGGTGAAGGCAATGACTAGCTTTCTGTTTGCTTGAGAATCAGCTGTACACACATGTCATAATTGTAACCGACTCACTGATTATGTTGAGAAAGGTGGAGACCATTATGCTCTGTGAAGAGTGGCAAGCAACGTTCAAAGGTCTCGGCTAGTTAGCGACCTGTGGATATTTTCCCCCTGGATGTGCCGGTGTATTAGTTAATGAACAGGAAGATAGACTGGCTGGTTCTGCACAACTTGGTGATAAATGTGATGCATGAGAAGCGAGATGTTTTGAAGGCCCTGTTGGGGCAAGTGAACAGTGCGGTAGCACAAATGGATCATTACAGTCTGAAGGGAATGTTACTGCAAGAAGTTACTAGGGAATCAAGTCAACGATAAATATTACCCAGTTTATTCTGTAACATATACCCTGTATCTGTCAGTGTTTATATTACCTAGTTTATTCTGTGACATATACCCTGTATCTGTCAGTGTTTATATTACCTAGTTTATTCTGTGACATATACCCTGTATCTGTCAGTGTTTATATTACCTAGATTATTCTGTGACATATACCTTGTATCTGTCAGTGTTTACATTACCCAGTTTATTCTGTGACATATACCCTGTATCTGTCAGTGTTTATATTACCTAGTTTATTCTGTGACATATACCCTGTATCTGTCAGTGTTTATATTACCTAGTTTATCCTGTATCTGTCAGTGTTTATATTACTCAGCTTATTCTGTAACATATACACTGTATCTGTCAGTGTTTATATTACCTAGTTTATCTTGTGACATATACCCCGTATCTGTCAGTGTTTATATTACATAGTCTATTCTGTGACATATACCCTGTTTATGTCAGTGTTTACATTACCCAGTTTATTCTGTGACATATACCCTGTATCTGTCAGTGTTTATATTACCTAGTTTATTCTGTGACATATACCCTGTATCTATCAGTGTTTATATTACCTAGTTTATCCTGTATCAGTCAGTGTTTATATTACCCAATTTATTCTGTGACATATACACTGTATCTGTCAGTGTTTATATTGCCTAGTTTATCCTGTATCTGTCAGTGTTTATGTTACCCAGTTTATTCTGTGACATATACACTGTATCTGTCAGTGTTTATATTACCTAGTTTATCTTGTGACATATACCCTGTATCTGTCAGTGTTTATATTACCTAGTTTATTCTGTGACATATACCCCGTATCTGTCAGTGTTTATATTACCTAGTTTATCTTGTGACATATACCCCGTATCTGTCAGTGTTTATATTATCTAGTCTTTTCTGTGACATATACCCTGTTTACGTCAGTGTTTATGTTACCTAGCTTATTCAGTGACATATACCCTGTATCTGTCAGTGTTTATATTACATAGATTATTCTTTGACATATACCCTGTATCTGTCAGTGTTTATATTACCTAGTTTATTCTGTGACATATACCCTGTATCTGTCAGTGTTTATATTACCTAGTTTATCCTGTGATATTGGCCTGTCTATCAGTCAGTTGTCCTTCTGTCTGGGTTTTTATCCCTCCTGTCTATCAAATTTGTCCACTTTCTCATTTAATTCTTCACTGGTGAGTGAGACATGTCTGTGTCTGATGTTCCAGGGAACATTTATCATCATGACTGGGATTGCTTTCAATGGAATGCTGGTTGCCATGTTGTATCGGCCACTCAGCATGCACCGTCGGTTCACACAGAAAATAAGGTACTGTCCATTGTTGTTTTGTATGTAGCCATGTTGTATAGTCTACTGTTACTGTCTGATTGGTAATGTTGTATTGTCTGCTGTTACTGTCTGTGTGGTCATGTTGTATTATCCACTGTTATTGTCTGTGTGGTCATGTTGTATTGTCCACTGTTATTGTCTGTGTGGTCATGTTTTATTGTCCACTGTTATTGTCTGTGTGGTCATGTTGTATTGTCCACTGTTATTGTCTGTGTGGTCATGTTGTATTGTCCACTGTTATTGTCTGTGTGGTCATGTTGTATTATCCACTGTTATTGTCTGTGTGGTCATGTTGTATTATCAACTGTTATTGTCTGTGTGGTCATGTTGTATTATCAACTGTTATTGTCTGTGTGGTCATGTTGTATTATCAACTGTTATTGTCTGTGTGGTCATGTTGTATTATCCACTGTTATTGTCTGTGTGGTCATGTTTTATTGTCCACTGTTATTGTCTGTGTGGTCATGTTGTATTGTCCACTGTTATTGTCTGTGTGGTCATGTTGTATTGTCCACTGTTATTGTCTGTGTGGTCATGTTGTATTGTCCACTGTTATTGTCTGTGTGGTCATGTTGTATTGTCCATTGTTACTGTCTGTGTGGTCATGTTATATTGTCCACTGTTATTGCCTGTGTGGTCATGTTGTATTGTCCACTGTCTGTGTCTGTGTGGTCATGTTGTATTATCCACTGTTATTGTCTGTGTGGTCATGTAGTATTATCCACTGTTATTGTCTGTGTGGTCATGTTTTATTGTCCACTGTTATTGTCTGTGTGGTCATGTTGTATTATCCACTGTTATTGTCTGTGTGGTCATGTTGTATTATCCACTGTTATTGTCTGTGTGGTCATGTTGTATTGTCCACTGTTATTGTCTGTGTGGTCATGTTGTATTGTCCACTGTTACTGTCTGTGTGGTCATGTTGTATTATCCACTGTTATTGTCTGTGTGGTCATGTTGTATTGTCCACTGTTACTGTCTGTGTGGTCATGTTGTATTATCCACTGTTATTGTCTGTGTGGTCATGTTGTATTATCCACTGTTATTGTCTGTGTGGTCATGTTGTATTATCCACTGTTACTGTCTGTGTGGTCATGTTGTATTATCCACTGTTATTGTCTGTGTGGTCATGTTGTATTATCCACTGTTATTGTCTGTGTGGTCATGTTGTATTGTCCACTGTTATTGTCTGTGTGGTCATGTTGTATTGTCCACTGTTATTGTCTGTGTGGTCATGTTGTATTATCCACTGTTATTGTCTGTGTGGTCATGTTGTATTGTCCACTGTTACTGTCTGTGTGGTCATGTTGTATTGTCCACTATTATTGTCTGTGTGGTCACATTGTAATGTCCACTGTTATTGCTTGTTATCTGCTGGCTTGAGAAAGACTGGACATACTGTGGCACTGCTCTGTTTTCTGTGCCACACTGCATTTTTGTTGTCTTGCCTGCGCACCCTCTGTGTTTATCTGTCACTATGTTTTTTCACCTGGCAACATACTTTATTGTTGAGCTGAAACCATAATTAGTTGAAGCAAGTTCACAAAAGATAGTCCAACATCTCAGAATATGAACTGAAGATCAAACATTTTCTCTTGTTGCAGAGTCACAGACACAGATCAGCTTGACTTGGAGCAGGAAGTGATCCTGGCACAACTGGCCGAGGCTGGTGACTCCACCAGTATTCAGTCCATACGTCTGCACAGAAAGAGTGTCTCTGTCAGTGAAAAAGAGGACTCACGAGCTCTGACACATATGACCTCTACAGGTCCTGTCCCTGAACAGAAACAGTCAGAAGGATGGTGTCTGTCTTCTCTGAAGATCTGTTTCCCTGTGGAGCATCAGGGAAAAGCTGGCAGTAACAAAAAGAAGTTATTTCACTTTGGTCTGCTGAAAGATCCATCGTTCCTGATGTTTTGTGTCAGTATAGGTTTGTTCACGGCTGCTTTCAAGGCTGCATTCACCTTCATTCCAGCTCTTGTCAAGTCCAAAAACTTGTCTGAGTCAGACGCTGCCATGGTGCTGTCGATCTGTGGCATCTTCGACACGCTTGGACGCATTGTATCAGGTTTGATTCTTGATCGGCCTCTACTTCGACCCCACAGGCTACTGCTGTATAACTCTTTTGTTTTTGCAATAGCCACTGTGTCGTTTATCCTTCCTTTTTTGAAAAGTTTTGCAACTTTATCCGTTATGTGCTCATTTTACGGGGCGTTGACCGGTGCCTACATTTCCCAGAAGTCTGTAGTGCTAGTGGACATTCTAGGGATCGAGAATATGTCCAGCTCTTTTGGGCTGCTGATTTGTTTCCAGGCAATGGGCATGTGTGCAGGACCCCCGTTGTCAGGTAAGATTCTGGTCTGTGTGGGGAGATGAGGCGTGGAAGTGGGTTTTGTAGGATCACTTAACATGTCAGGTGTACCTGGGAGAATAGTTTGTGTGAGGTTTAGAAATGGTTTTTGTGGGGAGGGGTAACCACAGGGTTGTGTGGGTTATGTCAGCTAGGACAGCAGCTGTTGTCATGTTTAGAGTGTCAATAGTGGTGATTAGCTCAGCCACACTTGAAATGTTTAGAGTTTTAACAGTGGTGATTAGCTCAGTCGCACTTGTAATGTTTAGAGTTTTAACAGTGGTGATTAGCTCAGTCGCACTTGTAATGTTTAGAGTTTTAACAGTGGTGATTAGCTCAGTCGCACTTGTAATGTTTAGAGTGCTAACAGTGGTGATTAGCTCAGTCACACTTGTAATGTTTAGAGTGCTAACAGTGGTGATTAGCTCAGTCACACTTGTAATGTTTAGAGTGCTAACAGTGGTGATTAGCTCAGCCACACTTGAAATGTTTAGAGTTTTAACAGTGGTGATTAGCTCAGTCGCACTTGTAATGTTTAGAGTGCTAACAGTGGTGATTAGCTCAGTCGCACTTGTAATGTTTAGAGTGCTAACAGTGGTGATTAGCTCAGCCGCACTTGTAATGTTTAGAGTGCCAACAGTGGTGATTAGCTAAACTTTTCAGAGAGCAGTGGCAAACTGCTGATCATAAAATTGCATAGTATTATCTCAAAAAACAACACAGAATGATGTTGATGTTTGAAGTGTATCTTGTCCGATATGTTGATGTTGATGATGATGTTTGAAATGTATCTTGTCTGATATGTTGATGTTGATGTTTGAAGTGTATCTTGTCTGATATGTTGATGTTGATGATGATGTTTGAAATGTATCTTGTCAGATATGTTGATGTTGATGATGATGTTTGAAGTGTATTTTGTCCAATATGTTGATGTTGATGATGATGAAGTTTGAAATGTATCTTGTCTAATATGTTGATGTTGATGATGATGATGTTTGAAGTGTATCTTGTCTGATATGTTGATGATGATGATGTTTGAAGTGTATCTTGTCTGATATGTTGATGATGATGTTTAAAGTGTATCTTGTCCGATACGTTGATGTTGATGATGATGTTTGAAATGTATCTTGTCCGATAGGTTGATGTTGATGATGATGTTTGAAGTGTATTTTGTCCAATATGTTGATGTTGATGATGATAAAGTTTGAAATGTATCTTGTCCAATATGTTGATGTTGATGATGATGATGTTTGAAGTGTATCTTGTCTGATATGTTGATGATGATGATGTTTGAAATGTATCTTGTCTGATGTTGATGATGATGTTTGAAGTGTATCTTGTCTGATATGTTGATGATGTTGATGTTTGAAGTGTATCTTGTCTGATATGTTGATGTTTAAAGTGTATCTTGTCTGATATGTTGATGTTGATGATGATGATGTTTGAAGTGTATCTTGTCTGATATGTTGATGTTTGAAGTGTATCTTGTCCAATATGTTGATGATGATGATGTTAGAAGTGTATCTTGTCTGATATGTTGATGATGATGATGTTTGAAATGTATCTTGTCCGATGTTGATGATGATGTTTGAAGTGTATCTTGTCCGATATGTTGATGTTGATGATGATGTTTGAAATGTATCTTGTCCGATAGGTTGATGTTGATGATGATGATGTTTTAAGTGCATCTTGTCCGATATGTTGACGTTGATGATGATGTTTAAAGTGTATCTTGTCTGATATATTGATGTTGATGATGATGTTTAAAGTGTATCTTGTCCGATATGTTGATGTTGATGATGATGTTTGAAGTGTATCTTGTCCAAAATGTTGATGTTGATGATAATGTTTGAAGTGTATCTTGTCCGATATGTTGATGTTGATGATGATGATGTTTGAAGTGCATCTTGTTCGATATGTTGATGTTGATGATGATGATGTTTGAAGTGTATCTTGTCCAATATGTTGATGTTGATGATGATGATGTTTGAAGTGTATCTTATCCCATATGTTGATTATGATGATGTTTGAAGTGTATCTTGTCCGATATGTTGATGTTGATGATGATGTTTGAAGTGTATCTTGTCCGATATGTTGATGATGATGTTTGAAGTGTATCTTGTCTGATATGTTGATGTTGATGGTGTTTGAAGTGTATCTTGTCTGATATTTTGATGATGATGATGTTTGAAGTGTATCTTGTCTGATATTTTGATGATGATGGTGTTTGAAGTGTATCTTGTCCGATATGTTGATTTTGATGATGATGATGTTTGAAGTGTATCCTGTCTGATATTTTGATGATGATGATGTTTGAAGTGTATCTTGTCTGATATTTTGATGATGATGATGTTTGAAGTGTATCTTGTCTGATATGTTGATGTTGATGTTTGAAGTGTATCCTGTCTGATATCCTCAGGTGCTCTGCGGGATGCGTTTGGTGGCTTTGACGAGGCTTTCTACCTGGGAGGTTGTTTTATGGTGCTAGCAGGTCTCCTGATGATTGCGAGCAACATCTTCCTGACAATCAAGAACCGCAGACACAGGAGCCATCAGAAACCTGCCAAGCTGCCAGAGACGGAGGCACAATGAAGCCAAATCTGAATCTGTGCTGCCAGTTAACAAATTGTTTAAGCTCAGTCAGCAATTAACACAGGATTCCAGAAGTGAAACGAATCATTTCAGCCACATAAAATCTGAACACTTAGAGATAAACAACACATTACAAGTGAGAACAGTCAAATGTTATGTACATCCAACTTGGCTGTAGAGACCTGCACAAGCTGACAGAGCTGAAGTCCTGCAGATGCTGGTCCACATCAGTGTAGCTTATATTTTGTCAAAACAATCATTATCTGATACTGAAGTTCTGAACAGAATGAAGCGCAGAGTTTACAACAGCGGAAACAAGACCAGAAAAATATTTACATTGTGTTATAAAGGTTGGTAAGCAAGAGTAAGCCAGTGATAAAAGTGGTAAGATTACAGCAAGAAACAAGAAATAGACATACAGATGTCTTTCAGCATGTACCAGCAGAACCGGCAATACAGAGTTGGAAAATCATTGAAGTGAATATTAATTATGTGAGATGGTGCCTAATTGTTTGATTTGCTGCATGTTCAACAAGTGGTTGACAAGGAATGACAGGCTGAAGCAGTCATGTTGACTGATTATATATGTCATGTGCTCTGTGGTAGAAGCTCTGTTCCCTGACTGGTGTTACCTGGTGTAAGGCTGAAGCAGTCATGTTGACTGATTATATATGTCATGTGCTCTGTGGTAGAAGCTGTGTTTCCTGACTGGTGTTGCCTGTTGTTAGGGTGAAGCAGTCATGTTGACTGATTATATATGTCATGTGCTCTGTGGTAGAAGCTCTGTTCCCTGACTGGTGTTACCTGGTGTAAGGCTGAAGCAGTCATGTTGACTGATTATATATGTCATGTGCTCTGTGGTAGAAGCTGTGTTCCCTGACTGGTGTTGCCTGTTGTTAGGGTGAAGCAGTCATGTTGACTGATTATATATGTCATGTGCTCTGTGGTAGAAGCTCTGTTCCCTGACTGCTGTTACCTGGTGACAGGGTGGGTCACTCCTCCAGACATCCAGCTGTGTGGCTGGCCATATTTGTTAAGAATTGATGTGGTAGTTTCCCCTTGTCTTCAACAACTACAAAAGGGGTTTGTGAATTATAACTTGCATATTTGTGTGAAGCAGTTCCCATTCTAGCAGCTCTGCCAAAGAATATGCTGTCTCTGGTCTAGTCTGAACAGTTTCTAACTGTTTACAGATCTTGCATGTAGTCTGTGTTTTCTATGTGCATACCTCATCTCTTGCTAGTTTCTGTAACCCTTATCTGAGATGTGAAGACAACCATGCAGGATTTTAGAGCAACAGGCTAGCTCCTAATTGTGTGTCATCCAAGTGAAGTCATGAACATGTTGTTGAGGGAGCCGACAGTGATCCCTGTCAGGCCAAGTTTAACCCACTAGGACAGCATGTTGACTGATTAATACCTAGTGACGTAAAATGTCTCTATTTGGATGAGAATTCTTCAGGCACAAATCCAAAAAACCCTGTTCAACCTCATACTGGGGCCCCCTGATGGTAACAAAGTCAGCTGAAGTCCAGATGGTACAGCTTGATCAAATCCCTTGAATTCCTGTAGTGCTTTAAATATGTTGCTGAAGTAGCCACCGGTCAACATTATCATCATTTGCCTTGCCGACTGGTGTGGGTGATCACACCCCTCCACAGTTTGTGATCGTCAGCAGCATGTATCAGTTCGTGTGCTGACACCCCTTTGTACCATGACAACAAACTGTCAAGAATCTCCTCATCTTTCTTCACTGTCTCATTTTCCATAAATTTTTCCACTTGTCACAACATACTCCAGTTTCCTTCTTCTCATATTCTAACTAAACATTGGTGACCATCTCTTTCTGATATTTATAATAAGTTGTCTTTGAATCATCACCTCTTTCAAAATATCTGGGTTGCTATTTTTGGCTGTGCAAGGAATTCTAAGGATTCTTCTGTGAAACTACATCACTGAGGCTTGCAGAAATTGTTTGGCTTGTTTATTAATTGTCCAGGATTTACAGCCATTTGTTAAAACTGGCTCTGTAGAGTATTGGAGAATAATGTTCTCACCTCCAGGGATATGGACACAACAGTGATCCCTGGGATTAGTTCATGGCTGTAACACATTCCAGCAGCAGCACATCTAAGGGGGCACTTGTTGTTGTTGTGGTCATATAGATGGACAGAGAGGCTAGCAGCTGTGGGTCATATAGACAGAGAGGCTAGCAGCTGTTGGTCATATAGATGGACAGAGAGGCTAGCAGCTGGTGGTCATATAGATGGACAGAGAGGCTAGGAGCTGTTGGTCATATAGATAGAGAGGCTAGGAGCTGTTGGTCATATAGATAGAGAGGCTAGCAGCTGTTGGTCATATAGATAGAGAGGCTAGGAGCTGTTGGTCATATAGATAGAGAGGCTAGGAGCTGTTGGTCATATAGATAGAGAGGCTAGCAGCTGTTGGTAGAATATAGATGGACATATAGATCATATAGATGGACAGAGAGGCTAGGAGCTGTTGGTCATATAGATGGACAGAGAGGCTAGGAGCTGTTGGTCATATATGGATAGAGAGGCTAGCAGCTGTTGGTCATATAGATACAGAGAGAGGCTAGAGAGCTAGCAGCTTGGTCATATAGATGGACAGAGAGGCTAGGAGCTGTTGGTCATATAGATAGAGAGGCTAGCAGCTGGTGTTCATATAGATGGATAGAGAGGCTAGCAGCTGGTGGTTATATAAATGGACAGAGAGGCTAGCAGCTGGTGTTCATATAGATGGACAGAGAGGCTAGGAGCTGTTGGTCATAGATATGGACAGAGAGATGGTCATATAGAGGCTAGGAGCTAGGAGCTGGTTGGTCATATAGATGGACAGAGAGGCTAGCAGCTGGTGGTCATATAGATGGACAGAGAGGCTAGGAGCTGGTGGTCATATAGATGGACAGAGAGGCTAGCAGCTGGTGGTCATATAGATGGACAGAGAGGCTAGGAGCTGGTGGTCATATAGATGGACAGAGAGGCTAGCAGCTGGACAGAGAGGCTAGCAGCTGGTGTTCATATAGATGGACAGAGAGGCTAGCAGCTGGTGGTCATATAGATGGACAGAGAGGCTAGGAGCTGGTGGTCATATAGATGGACAGAGAGGCTAGCAGCTGGTGGTCATATAGATGGACAGAGAGGCTAGGAGCTGTTGGTCATATAGATGGACAGAGAGGCTAGCAGCTGGTGGTCATATAGATGGACAGAGAGGCTAGTCATATAGATGGACAGAGAGGCTGGTGGGTCATATAGATGGACAGAGAGGCTAGGAGCTGGTGGTCATATAGATGGAGAGGAGAGCTGGTGGCTAGGAGTGTTGGTCATATAGATAGAGAGGCTAGGAGTTGTTGGTCATATAGATAGAGAGGCTAGCAGCTGGTGGTCATATAGATAGAGAGGCTAGGAGCTGTTGGTCATATAGATAGAGAGGCTAGGAGCTGGTGGTCATATAGATAGAGAGGCTAGGAGCTGTTGGTCATATAGATAGAGAGGCTAGGAGCTGGTGGTCATATAGATAGAGAGGCTAGGAGCTGGTGGTCATATAGATAGAGAGGCTAGGAGCTGTTGGTCATATAGATAGAGAGGCTAGGAGCTGTTGGTCATATAGATAGAGAGGCTAGCAGCTGGTGGTCATATAGATAGAGAGGCTAGGAGCTGGTGGTCATATAGATAGAGAGGCTAGGAGCTGTTGGTCATATAGATAGAGAGGCTAGCAGCTGTTGGTCATATAGATGGACAGAGAGGCTAGCAGCTGTTGGTCATATAGATAGAGAGGCTAGGAGCTGGTGGTCATATAGATAGAGAGGCTAGGAGCTGTTGGTCATATAGACAGAGAGGCTAGCAGCTGTTGGTCATATAGATGGACAGAGAGGCTAGCAGCTGTTGGTCATATAGATGGACAGAGAGGCCAGCAGCTGTTGGTCATATAGATGGACAGAGAGGCTAGCAGCTGTTGGTCATATAGATGGACAGAGAGGCTAGCAGCTGGTGGTCATATAGATAGAGAGGCTAGGAGCTGGTGGTCATATAGATAGAGAGGCTAGGAGCTGTTGGTCATATAGACAGAGAGGCTAGCAGCTGTTGGTCATATAGATGGACAGAGAGGCTAGCAGCTGTTGGTCATATAGATGGACAGAGAGGCTAGGAGCTGTTGGTCATATAGATAGAGAGGCTAGGAGCTGTTGGTCATATAGACAGAGAGGCTAGGAGCTGTTGGTCATATAGACAGAGAGGCTAGGAGCTGTTGGTCATATAGACAGAGAGGCTAGGAGCTGTTGGTCATATAGACAGAGAGGCTAGGAGCTGTTGGTCATATAGATGGACAGAGAGGCTAGGAGCTGTTGGTCATATAGATGGACAGAGAGGCTAGGAGCTGGTGGTCATATAGATAGAGAGGCTAGGAGCTGGTGGTCATATAGATAGAGAGGCTAGGAGCTGGTGGTCATATAGATAGAGAGGCTAGGAGCTGTTGGTCATATGGATGGACAGAGAGGCTAGCAGCTGGTGGTCATATAGATGGACAGAGAGGCTAGGAGCTGGTGGTCATATAGATGGACAGAGAGGCTAGGAGCTGTTGGTCATATAGATGGACAGAGAGGCTAGCAGCTGGTGGTCATATAGATGGACAGAGAGGCTAGGAGCTGTTGGTCATATAGAGAGGCTAGGAGCTGTTGGTCATATAGATGGACAGAGAGGCTAGGAGCTGTTGGTCATATAGATGGACAGAGAGGCTAGGAGCTGTTGGTTATATAGATGGACAGAGAGGCTAGGAGCTGTTGGTCATATAGATGGACAGAGAGGCTAGGAGCTGTTGGTCATATAGATGGACAGAGAGGCTAGGAGCTGTTGGTCATATAGATGGACAGAGAGGCTAGCAGCTGGTGGTCATATAGATGGACAGAGAGGCTAGCAGCTGGTGGTCATATAGATAGAGAGGCTAGGAGCTGTTGGTCATATAGATGGATAGAGAGGCTAGCAG